TTTAGCTTCTTATTTGCAACATAGTATATAGTTGCTTAGAGTTGCAACTGAGAGGCTGGCAAGTTAGGCGGGGAACGTTGGAGTCTGCAGCAAGCAAGCCTCGTGCTCGCTTCAGTGCCTGGCTGCCGGCCGCCATCTTGGCTGACAGTTAATTTGCATATACTCACTGATTAGCCAATGAAAAGGGTAGCGGTCATACGCTAATTACCATGTTTCTCTTTTATTAGTGTAGATGTGTCTAAAGCACATTGCACAAGATTAAGAGGATAAAATACATTTACTTACACATTTGAACAACGAAAATGATTCTGTGACACCCCAGCACTGTACGCATGGGCTTTCTAGCCCCCCGTTGGGCATTCTCTCCTTTCTGCCACTTACTATCTGAACAGCGCTGGGCAGATTGCTATGCAGTTGGAACATGGGCCAACAACAGGTTATTGACTCTCCTGTTACGTTTCCTGTTCCTTGTCTGAAAAACAGAGAATCATTCTTGTTTTATCGGCTTGCTGTGATTATTTACATAAACTCAAATAGCACAGTGCCCGCCCCTAGAAGGCATTTGAAAATTACTACTTCCTTTCCCAATGTTGATTAAAAAATCATTTTAGTCTGTATGTACACAAGCTATTCACCAAAGAGAGATGATCTTTAACCAATGCAGTCACCTAGGTCTCGTTGCAGTTGGAAGTAGTATGACCTCAGAATACTCGTGCCAGCGCTTCTGGCTTCCACGCCCACAATGCTCATGCTGTCACTTTCCACCTGGGTAAATCCACTGTGAAGGGAAGGACATGCTGTGTGTTAACTTGAGACAAGGACAAATGTGTAGGCAGTAGGGCCTTCGCACACAACCTCATACCTCCTCCACCCAGCCCCGTTTGAGGACCTACATTCATTGGTAACAATTAGCAAATACGACCACTTCTGCAGTGGGAATATCAGCTTTGGACCCTCCTGAGAGGAGCTGCCAGAATCACAGTGATCCTGGCTATTCTGGAAACTTCTCCTGATATAGGAAGAGGGGCACCTGATCTAATCTTGGCAGGTCTGAGTCATTCCCCAGCATTTAGAACCATCAGTTCCTGATCAGTCTCGGTGAAGATGTGAACACAGCAGCTAATGAGGCCATCATTCTCTGTGATGTTACCTGTGTCTGCCTAGACCAGCGGTTCTCAACCTGTGGGTCGCGACCCATTTGGTGGTCGAACGACCCTTTCACATGGGGTCGCCTAAGACCATCCTGCATATCAGATATTTACATTACGATTCATAACAGTAGCAACATTACAGTTATGAAGTAGCAATGAAAATAATTTTATGGTTGGGTCACAACATGAGGAACTATATTTAAAGGGCCAGAAGGTTGAGAACCACTGGCCTAGACAAACGTACCATGTGCCGCTCTGAGGCATGAGAGAAAAATGAAGCAGGTATATAGAAAACCAAACCAAACTAAGCAAAAACAAAATTAGAGAAGGAATTTCTTGTTTCTTACAGAAGCCTAGCTGTTGGGCTATAGACTGCTTCTCGAATACTGCTGCTCTGGCCTTCGTGAAATACCTTTTGGCTTCGAGTCCATGCTGACTTACTAAGTTTCTTTAAGTAGCAACTAAAGTTCTATTCAACTTAGAAATTAATATCAAGAGTGGAATGCAGCAGTTTCCAGACTCTCAGAAAACTGCAGCATTGGCTGGTCTATCTAGGGGCTGAGCAGGTCCCCGATCTGGTCAGCCAGCCAGTGATCACTGTGATTTTTGGGCAAAGAAGGTTGAATTTGCATCTGCTTTCTCTCTTTAGAATCATCATTCCTCCTCTTAAGTCTTTTTCTTTCTCAATTGATTTTTAGTAAATTTGCAGAGCGGGGCAACCATCACCATGATACAGTTTTAGAACATTTCCATCCTCCAAAAAGATGTTGTGCCCTAGCCCAATTTGCTCAATGGTTAGAGCATCAACCTGCAGTCTGAAGGGTTCTAGGTTCGATTCTGATCAAGGGCATGTACCTCGGTTGCAGTCTTGATCCCCAGCCCCAGTCAGGGCACATGCAGGAACAACTAATTGATTTGTCTCACTCACATCGATGTTTCTCTCTCTCTGTCTTTCCCTCTCAGCTTCCACTCTCTCTAAAAAAAAAAAAAAAAAAAAAAAAAAAATCAATGGGAAAAAAAAATTCTCAGATGAGGATTAACAAAAAAAATAAATAAAAATTTAAAATAAATTTTAAAAAAGATCTGTTGTACCTATCTGTAGTAAATCCCATCCTACTCTCAGCCCCGGGCAGCCACTAATTTATCTTCTGTTCCTACAGACTTGCCTCTCCTGGATGTTACACAAAGGGAATCATACAGTACTATCTTACACATCTGGCTTCTTTCGTGGAGCACGATGTTTCTGCATTTCACCATGTCAAGTGTATGTCAATGCACCATTCCTTCTCATAGCTGAGTAATATTCCCTGTATGGATGTACCACAGTGGATTTATCCATACCAGGTGGCATTTGCACCGTCTGCCCTTTTAGGGTTGAGTAAAGCTGCTAAGAACATCCCATGCAAGTCTTTGTGTAGATGTGTGTGTGTGTGTCTATTTCTCTTGAGTAGATGTGAAGATTCACATAAAGTCTGGGTGTAGATGAATTTAATTCCTTAGGTACATACGAACCTTCCTCTAACATCTTTGTGTAGACATAGGTCTATTTCTCTTGGGTAGATCCTAAGTGCTGCTGGGTTGCTGGTAAATTTATGTCTAATACACATTTTCTCTGGAGAATCAGAATTCGTATTCAGAGACGACAACATTTTAGGAAACTGAAAAGTTCCTAGAAAGTTTTGGTTATTTCTTGCAGTAGTCACTAAGGTGCCAAAAAAGGAGATAAAATGTTGCACATCTTAGAACTTACAGGGAACAACAGCATGAAGCAAGATTTCTGGGTTTATTATTGCCAGATGAAGCTCCCCAAAAAGAAATTACCACTCAACTAAGGATTTCTGGAGGTACGTGTTGTAAATCAGGGAAGGGGCATAATTTGAGGTCTTGGTCCATTCGTTCTGGAGTCCTGATTAAGACACGTTTTTGAGATGTGCCACTCACCTGCCACAGTGAAAGCAGTGTCACTTCAGCGGATGGACATGTTTACAATTTTATAATGCGTGTACTGCAGTGTTTAAAAGCACATGTGAAATGGAAGATTCCAAAGTTTCTACTTGCTTACCATGACGAGAGCAGTGCAATACAGCGAATGGATGTATGCAGCTTTGTAATGCGCACAGTGCAGTGTTTAAAAAGACTTACACAGAAGTTTCTAAACGTGCTACTTGCTTGCTAAGTTGAGAACAGTATTGTGTCAGTGACAGGATGTTCTAACTACTCAGTAATGCTATAAAGAATGCAATAGAGAATTCCATAAAGACAGATAAAAAAGAAAGAAACGGCGCATTCATGAGGCCAACATCTAAGCACAAGCCCCTGAAGGCTGACCTGAACAAGGCAACAGCACAGGTGTTTGCATGCATCTCCCCAGAGGAGGGACGGTATCCCTGCCCCTGGAGGGAGATCATCGTTATTGACAGAGGGGCTCACTTCACACAGGCTGGCCTCGGATCCACAGCAGACACAGCAGAGCGAGGTCATGACACCGCTCTCAAGTACAGGGGAACCTAGTACAAATGTATCCCAGTGTAAACTAGCGAAAGTACAGTACGTCACCACCTGCAAATGTGGACATGGAACGGCATGGCTCCGGTTCGGCCCAGACCTCCGACTTCCAAGGAATTTAATGAGGAATTCTGATTGAAGCAGTTGCTGGTGCCAATGCTTTTCAGAATGCAGAGCACTGAGTTGGCCTTATGTTTTGTTTAGAAAGTTGAGAGGGTTAAAAACTACCTACAGACCAATGCTCCTAAAACTTAAGTTGACTCTCTACTAATTCTTAATCTTCCCAGAAAATTGTATTTATTTACTGAAAAGAACTAAGATTCTCCTGTTTTAGGAATTTCCTCTAATAATTGTCTTCAAATAACTACTGATTTACAATTCAGAAAATATGTAGTTTTGTTACAGAAATCTGTAATTTTTTTAAATATTTGTTTGGGGTATTGTATTTTTTCATTTAAGATTATAAGATGTTTCATGGTCACAGACAACAGTGTGGTGATTGCAGGGGGCAAAAGGGTGAGAGGAGGTGGAAAAGGGTATGGGGGAATAAATGTTAATGGAGAAAAATAAAATAAAATTTTAAAATAAATAAATAAGTAGCTGTGAGAAGTTTGTCACAGGAGGTTGAATTTAGCGCATACCTCATGACAAGAAAGTGACAACTCTCCCAGATGGAATATGAAATCTGGAAGCCCTGTCCTCTAAAGCACTCTAGCAAGAAAGCTCACACGTGGTTCCAAACTATTAACCTAAAAGCACGATGCAGAACTGCATTCTTTCACTTTCACAGTCTTGCCCCCACGGACTCCCCCCACACCAGGGTCTGAGTTCAGAACTGTGTGGGCTATGAAGGGAGGGTAAGACTGGGCTGCAGGGCTGTCAGGCCCCACCCGGACCTCCCGCATCCCGTGGGACTTTGGGTACAATAACCACACCTTTGCACCCCCACTGCATCTGTAAGTGTGGGTGATGCCACATAAACTGTGGGTGGCGGTTTTGTATATTAAAGGAGACCGAGTGGAGGATGCAGAACATCTTTTTTTAAGAGGAGGAAACAGATTCTGACCAGTGACTTTTGTTGGGTCCCCAAGTAGTGAGGGGCAGGCTAGGCTAGACTCCAAGTCCCAGTCACATTCTCTACAAGGGAATCCTTAAAAAGGTACTGTGGGGGATACATGCACCCCTATGTTCATAGCAGTACAATTCACCATAGCTAAGATTTGGAAACAGCCTAAGTGCCCATCAGCAGATGAGTGGATTAAAACCTGTGATACATCTACACAATGTAATACTACGCTGCTGTAAAAAAGGAGGAACTCTTACCATTTGCAACAGCATGGATGGAACTGGAGAGCATTATGCTAAGCAAAATAAGCCAGTCAGAGAAAGATAAATATCACATGATCTCACTCATTTGTGG